GGTCTAGTAAGATACTTGGGAGGCAACTAAAAATGTAATACACCTAAAGTATTTGCTAAAGTGTAACATCTTCAATCACAGAAGCCATAATTTATTTTCAGCCACAGTCAGAGGTCTCTCACACAAGGTGTGGTCCTAGACCACTTAGGCTTTTCATCACTAGCTTTATATATACACAAGTAATTTTAAAAAGGAATTACAGCTTAACTACTTACTACAGAATATTTAGCTTCAACAAGGAAGCCATTATCTTTTCCAAATGAGATATACACCTGCACGAAAGGTGTTCTCTTTAAAGTAAGAGTTTTCACAAGAATAGCAAAATAAGTTCTTTACATACTTAATTCAAATAGGACAAAAAACTATCAAGGGCAAGTATAATGTAGGTCTTGTGTAATTAAGTCATTATTTGCCTTTCCAAGCACATTCAAGAACATATTCATCTCTATAAACTGGTTTTAATGAACAAACACTGGGCAAGGTCAGTGCATCAATTAGAGGAACATTACAGTGTTCTCAGACAGAATTCTGTGCAGTCAAAATTTAAAGGGATCTTCATGCATTGCCTTGAACAAGGATTCAATCTTTCCTTACAACTTGCTACTTTTACAAATGTTTTCCTTACTGAAACAAAGTAACATGCAGAAAAAAAAGGCTTCTTCAGATTTAAATGTAATAATTTAAGACAAATGGAAGAATTGTTGACATACTTTCATTTTGAAGCAAGGTGCATCTTGCTCTGCTTGCCCAGTGAAATGAGAGGTTTTATTGGGACAGGCATGAGAAAGTTTCCTTATGCATTGGTGTTGTCTATGCATCAAATTTCATAGCTCAGATTTAAAAAAAAGATTAATTTATGGAGTATTTGCTAACTTTGCTTAGAATTTAAAACAGGTATATCTCTTAATGAAAGCCTATAGTTTGTCCAACTACTATTACCAGTAATATAAATAGCAACTAAGCACAATAAATTCCTTTCAAATACATTTACCTTTTGAAGTCAGAAGTGTAACAATCAGGTGCTGGCTCTGTGTTCCCAATAAAAATCATTAAAAAAAGAGGACGGTCAATGACTTTATTTTTGCCCCCCTCAGGGTTACATTTCCTTTTATCTACTCAATGACAGGATCAATTCTACTTTCAGAGAAGCAAATTGTTCATGCTGACATAAATGCAAGTTGGATGCAGCCAGTTTTGAGCACAGAACTGAATCACTAAGTGCATTCTGAAGACCAGATCAGACAAAAGGCCTTTCAGTAATTAAGGAAGGTTGTGGTTGGTTGGTTTGGTTTTTTTTTCTTTTTTCTTTTAAAGCAAAGTAGGCACCATTGTTGCATCCCTACTTTGAGAAGAAGGGAAGAAATGGCAGAAAGTAAAGACAAATTACAAAAGTCTTCAAATAATTTGAGATCTACCACCATTTATACACTTTTGCAACTTGTAAAACCCTTTGTAGTTTAGAAGAATTTCAAATAAATAGGTCTACAGCAACTAGTAACTACTAAGTTAATATTTATCTTGCTCAATGTGGAGTAAAACTTAAAAAAATCATGTTAAGGCAGATTTCAATCAAACGTTCCAAATTGCACAGTTATGTTGGTCAGTGGTCTAAAATGTTTTCCTCAGGTCAAAGAGTTAAAGTTATTTAAATGCTTGTCTAATGCCAATTCAACCTGGCACTTGACCATTTTATTTTCTCTGTTTCCAGGAAGATACACAACTAATATTACATATACCATACTGTGTATTTCACACCCCAATTTAAGATGAAATTATGCTTTTACAAAATGTGAGATGACTACATGTTACAGGCTTTGTGCAGTTAGACCACCATATGCATAGATGTCCTAATGCTAAATTATCTTCTTTAGTATCTCATAGTACTGGAGGCTCTGAAGTAGGAGAGGAACTTGTAACACAGACTAACCACAAAGTACCAGATATTTCTTGCCATTTGTGATCTTGCAATAAAGATACGCCAGATCAGGATCACGAGAACTGTATTGAAGCCATAGCGTATATTTCTTAACCTAAAGAAAAACAAAAGAAATAATTAAGTGCAAAGGTACCAAGACTTACAGGAAAAAAGAACACTAAAAATTAACTTCTAATGTAGAATTTAAATTTGCTCATCTATTCATCTCAAGATACGTTACGAGTGGTATTAAGAGAATGATGGAAGTAAGCTGGTTAAGTCAAGGACCAAACAGATAACGCTTTTCCATAGTTCACTGCTGAGAAGTTGAACACATGAAAACCAAGGAACAGAGCCAGCCCTGTAGCTAACCACATGTACTTCTATTTTACAACTGCTTGATAAAAACCTCTTGAAGCCAAGGTCACACACATGGTAACTAACCTGTTATCTGCCATCCATCCCAAAACCAAGGAAATATTTAACACTACAAACGCACCTCCTCCCCTCCATGTGTAACTGAAGTGAAAACTTCATATATATGTAGAATTAACACCAACTGCTGCTGACAAAAAAACAAACACCACAAAAAAGCTCATAGAATTTTCCAGCCACAGAGCCCAGAGTCTTCACAGCAATTTTAAACTCATTCCTTCTCAGGGAAATATATTTAAAGATTAGGCAAAACTAAGTGTCCTTTTAGGGCAACTGTGAGTTTTAGCAAATCGACTCACGTGTAAAGATGGAAACTTCAAGACTAATGGCAAACAGAATTTGCTCAGATTTCTTAGAAACAAAGCAATCTCTCTGGTTCAGTAGATCACGACAATTTGTATTTTAAAAGGCAACTCTTTTTAAGGAAATACTTACTGACCTTATTTTGTTTTACAGGTAGGCTGGGTGTTACTATAGCCAGACCATCCTCTACATACTTTATTTGTAGAAAAAAGTCTAAATTTCTATATTACAAAAAGTAAAGCCTACTTTTCTATTTGAGGAAAAATTCTACTCAGTAGTTTCCTAGAGAAGCCAGGTCCCCTAGGCTGCCATATAGGGTTAATATTGAAGCAGTAGAGTCCTCAAATTCAGATTAGAGTTCAGGGCTAAATGGTAACAGAAGAGACCAACTTAATACCTCAGAGTAAGTTTATGTTAGAATCTAAACCTCTTGCAAAATAATCCACTCAGACTGAGAGAGGAGGGCAATCAGATGCTGTTCCAGTACAAGACTATTACTGATGTTAATTTGGGTATGATTCTTTGTACAAAGAATGGCAACTGTATGATAACTCCTATGCATTTTTTAACAGCATTTAAATTAATTAAAAAAAATCAGAAGGGGACGCCTCTTTAGTTATCCCCACCATTATCAAAGATTACCATCTTCCAAAAATATATCTGAGGTTGTAATGCATCATGCCAATCTACTCTAAAGACAAGGATTTGCAGCTGTAGAATAATGATACAAGTAATGAATTACACCACTTTGTGCTATCAGGATAGCAAATGTGAAGCAGTATAGCAGAACATGATTAACCACTTTTATTTAATTCTTTAAAAAGACAAATCAAAAAGTCTACAACTGTCTTTATGAATCAGCCACAAACAAAACAAGGGCAATTGTGCCAGTAAAATTCTGGGCAGTAACACCATACTCAAATTGGGGGAATTAAGCTACAGATAAAAGACTAAGAAAAGTCATCTTAGAGCACCAGCATCAAAGTTTCCTGCTCTGAGGTGGAGAGTCCATGCCTGTTTACTCACTTGCTTCAAAAGATCACATTCCCAGAAGAAACAACTATAGTTCTATTAAACCTCCTTAACTGAACAAGCCATTCTGACCTTGTGTTACTGTACACCTTTTTACCCTCCAGAATATACTTGGGTAAAATCAGAAACCTGGATTACAGTACACAATGGTGATCAGAGCTATAACCATAATCCCAGAATAATACTGTAACTATTAATACAGAGAGCAACCCAGAAGCAACAAATAGAACAAGAAAGATGACATCTGACTTCTTCAGAAAACACTACAGACCACTGGACTAGAACAGAAGAATTACGGAGGACATAAACAGATGCTACAAAGAACAATTAAGTCATAACATGGAAAAGCAAAACTTGACAAGGGCAGGAAGTCACAGAAAATATAAATAGAGGAAAAAAAAAATTATACTTACTTATTCAAGTGTTTCCTAGCTGCAGGGAGGCCAGACATTTCTTCATTCAGCACATATCTCTTCGTTCCCATGCAGTAATTTTCCATGTATTCGGCCCAATGTAGTTGTCGAACGTCAAAATTAAATGTCTGCATAAAATAAAAGCCTTCACTGTTAGCTGCCTAAAACTTCGCCTGCTATATATAATAATGTAAAGAAAAACAATAAGTGTCTTTATATCCGATAAATCCAATTTGTCTTTGATGCAAGAAAGATATCTTGTCCTTAATCATAAGGACGATCCAGATTTAGATGCCATTTCTGACTCAATCACCAGCTTCTTACACCATCTCATCCAAATTTCAACTATTTCATGCCTTATTTTTCCTCCTCAGCAGTTTCTTCCCTCCACTTCCAAGCGCACTGCTTTCCCATTTCATCTGTCTGTAAGGAATACCACTCCAGAAATAACTACTTTCTATCATGTTGTTTCCTTTTACGCAACAAGATAATTCTAACATGCTATAGAATATACACTGCTCTGTGCCAAGTCCACTGTTTGATAAATGTAGAGTTCTTTTAGCTGTACTTATAGTTGCACAGCTGTATTTTAAAAAGTGAGTATCTTCCTCAGGAGAGGACGTTACTACAGTAAATTCACAACTCAAGTTTTTCACTTATGTACTGATTTCCACATCTCAAGATTCTACAATAATAGCTGTTTAAATCCCAATAAACACCAAGATTTTCCTAGCAGGTTTTTAACTCTGCTGATTTCATTTCAGGTAAAAGAATAAGCGAGATCATTAACAGAACAAGAGACAAGTACCAGTTTTGTGCAGTGAAACTGTATTCAGCTTTAAAAGTTGCTATACATACACTAAATACCCAACTCCATGCTTCCAAGTAAACTGCTTAAACAGCATGGCAGGTGTGTTATAAGGTGTGATGAATAATAAACACATTAGTTCTGAAGACAATCCCTCATAGTGAGTCTTTCTAATTTAGCATTCTTGGCAAGTTAAAGCTCAGCAAGTAGTTCTAGTCATGATCATGATATAAAATACATACATACTAAACAGTCTTCTAGTACTGGTAAGTTATCAGAATCTCTCTATTAAACTTTATTTTCCGTAATGTATCATCATAGCAAGAATGTAAAAGTAAACACACTAAAGTTTCAAACAGTATTTCAACTAGTTCTTTATTACTGTATGCACATCTTACTGAAAATTCATTTATTTGAAAATACTAACAGTCCAAAGTTCTGGGGCTATTTTGTTCTGTTTTTTTAAAGTTTCCCCGAACTCAAGTTTCTCCCTGGAGGGAGGCAAGAGGGCAGAAGGGGTGGAAATCCTCTCCACACATGAATCAGCAAAAGCTATTCTATTTCCTACTTTTAGACAGTTTATTTAGAAGTTTGGCAGCTTTTCTTCAATTTAACTATAGAACCTAGATTCTGGAAAACACCTGAATAGGAAAGACATCTTCAAGATGACAAAACTGTTCAAATGCATAAGGGAATTTGAGTTTTAAAAACTGTTGCTGCTGATTTTTATCCTGCTGA